TCCTTTAGGTCAAAATATACAAACACCCGCAGTCTAATTACAATTTAAATACCCAGAGAAAGATTCGCGCGTTGTTTCCATTTCTTATCAGCCACGTGTACTTTGTACAAGACTTTCATAATTATTTTAGCTCGACCACCACCAAACCAATAACTTCTCATTGGAAAGAAATTTAATAAAATTGGAAAGCCACCTGCAAAGGGAAGGACCTGCGCGTTAAGCGGATTGAACACACACCTGTTAATCCTTTTTCTACTCAAACGACGAATTACTCGCAAACGATGTTCAACAGCTTCCTCGCTCGGGATCGATAACACATCATCAATTCGTTTTAGGAGAAGAATATCTCAGTTGATAAACGATTCGTATTCGTACACGTACACGTGTAGTCGATGTTATGACACTCCTACGGGCGCATGATGAACTCTGACTTTTCGAGACGGATCGATGTGTGCCGCGCGATCGCTGCGAATTATACCACGAAATCTCTCCAGTGATCCACGCTGTGTATCCAATCGATCGTAGTTATTTCAGAAATAACGAGGCGTCGCCGGCACTCGGGCAATTAATTATTCATCCCCCTAATCGGGACAAGTTCCGAAAATCGTGAACCGTTTCGTATTTCGGTGGAATCGATATATACGACGAAAACGAGATTCAACGTCGTTTCGTCAAATCACCGATGCCGTTAACCTCTTGCGCTGTTGTCCTAAATTTTTTGTCCCAAATTGCAACATTTTCTCGGTTTTTAAGTACATTTAGGTAAAACAAACGACAAGTTCATTGCTTCTTGATCATTTCTATCCAGTGATATCGTACCGACGAGTTCAAAAGAGAAAGAGAGCAACGAATGATTGTATACGGGTTCGGTCACTCGTTATGGTCCGCGCAACCAGTTGCCAGCGCAATGTGTTAAACGGACGCGGATGAACGTTTGGATTTATCGCGTCCGTACAGGTCGCTCGAGGAATCGACGAGTTTGCGTTCGATTTTCCAGAGAGTCGGAGGAATTCTCTCTCTCTCTCTCTCTTTTCCAGCGAATCAAACGAATTCTCTTTGGATTTTCTAGCAAATCGAACTCCTCTTCGATTTCCTAGCGAATCGAAGGAACACGCGTTCGCGTCCTTAGTGCGACGAAGGGAGAGAAAAGAAAAAAAAAAAAAAGAAAATAATGCAGTCAGCGTAGACTTAGTAATTCGTGGTGCTTCTCCTGTTCAAACGATCTAATGTTAGCTGAACATTAACCTCGTCGAATTTCACGCGCGTGACTCTCCTGCGCGCTGCCGAGAGCGTTCCGCAGCGACCGTGAAAACAGTATCATCCACTTTCGAGTTGCCTCCTCCGATAAAAACACGGAAGAGCCCTGACTTCCGGCACTCGCCTAAGACTAAACAGAGGCGCGCAGCTGGCGAGGCACTCGATAACAAGCGTACCGAGAACAATCGCTTCGAATGGTATAATTAATTCTGCTACGTTCTTTGGATCGTTCTCTGGCAAATCTGTAGTTGAAATCCAGTTGTCGAGAGGCTTTTTAATCGTTAATTGCTGACGTCTGTATTCTTTCGTTCACTGTCGTATCTCGATTAATTGTTTATCTTGGAAGAATTATAAATTAATTTGTTTGATAATATGTCACTTAAAATTCTTGAAAATGAAACTCTACAACGATATAAATAATAATAGAGAAAGTGAATTTAAATTAAAGACCGAGGAGTTATTTTTCATTTAAAAATCACTGTTTTTAAAAATATAGGTGAAATTAATTACGTTTAGATTAAAAATTAAGTCTGAAATTTATTGATAAAATTAATTACGCAAGATTAAGGATTGAGTTTGAAAGAATCCTTGAAATTCGCACGAAAGCTATCGTGGAAAATACCTTAGTTACAATTACTTTATATTTCAGTAATCAGCGAAACGAACAAAATTGAAATTTCGCACGTGATAGTTAAAGTCCAAATCTTTCATACTTTTGAGATCGAGAACCTTTGCCACACTTGGAAAGAAACGAAGAAATTCGAAGATCGTAGCAGAGTTAATGTCGACAGCGAAGGAGACTCACCACTTCCGATGATACATGTACGTCTAAGCGCACACAGTCTATCGTTCACGCGATAAGAAGATAATAAATGTAAAGGAAGGAATAATAAATGTAACAATGATGCGTCGAACGGGATTTATTTCTCGGGGCATCGTCGCTTCCGGTATAGTTATTAACCGCCGGGAGTGAGAGGGGGGAAATGGAACCCAGGACTGCCAAAGAGCGCGAAACTTCTAAAATGCATAGGTTCTCTAGCACGAGATTCATTCGTGTCAATTTTGCGTGATTCAACCATCGTTCGAACGAGAAAGCTCGCGTCATATCGTGTGTGTGCATGTGTGTATGGAATCGTTTTGTCAATTTGCCGAGAGGGGATGATACGTGAAGCTTCGCTTGTCGGTGAATAACGTGTAATAAATTAATTATCTTGTTTATTCGTCTCGAAGGTGAATGTTGCACGAACAGATGAAAAGTTGTTTACGATTCTTTTAAAGTAGAGCTAAAACAATTGGCGAAACAATTTTTAATCTTGAATTTGGTTGGTGTACGTGATACGTATGTCGTTTCTCCGAAGTTTTAAATTTACAATCGACGTTGATTACAATTGTTGATTATATTAAGAAGGGGAAACACATTTGTGTAGGTTTGTTATTATAACAAAGAAGTCAAAACCTTAGTATCGACAGGATATGAACTTGGTACCTGAAGAAAACCGAAGGCTTTATTCTTTTACTCTATTTTACTATATTTATGATATATAAAATCGCAAAAGTCAATATTAATTTTGTCAGTTACGAATGTAATTATATTGCAAAGACAAAAAATTTGAACTTAGTGATATTGAAACGTTTGGGAATGAGAGAAAAAAGAAATTGCACCGTTTCAAGAAACATCAAGTTCCAAAACTGGCAATTTTTACAATGGTAAAAAATGGTAAAAAATTATTTTCGTCGAACGTGCAATGCTTCGAGGAAACAAAACGCAGATAAAATTTTACTTGTAGAAACCGCGGTAGCTCGCACACACCAACCTCGTAAAATGGCGCACGGTTCTAGACGTGCCGTTCCGTTGTAACAGTGTTTCCAATTTAATCAATAAACCGCAAGCGAAGACGAAGCGAGAGAGATGGTTCGACGGGAATACGAGCCAAAAAAAGCGAAAAAAATGGACAGCTGTTTCGATGGACAGGTGTTTCCATACAGAGAGCGCGAGATGAAAGACGTAGCGTTGTAAATTAGAAGTAAGCGACGAAACGAAGAAGAAGAGAAAAAAAAAAAAAAAAGGAAAGAAAAGAGAGAACAGAATCTACGATGGTATCTAGTAGACGCATTATATTCCGATATAGAAATATTTTTCTCATCGTGGTGTGTATATCTCCTACTAATTTTCGTGAATGTTGATCTATCTCCTGCCGTCGTGCACGAAATGACACATGATCGATACTCGATGGTGGAAAAATGCTGGCGGAGGGGAAAGAAAGCGCAACGTTCGTGAGTAACGAGAAACTTGATATCATAACATTCTGTCGGTACCGCGACTTTAGTTCGAACGAGGAACTAAAAAAAAAAAAAAAAAGGAAAAAAAAATGAAAAAAAAAAAACAAAAGCTGAACCGCTATGTCGTATTGTATGTTGTGTATATTAATGAATGTTTAGAGGACCAAGAAATATAATGTACCGATGTAACGCGTATCGTTTATTTCCCTGTTGTCCCTGTTTCATGCACCCCGCGTTTAGCGGAAATAAATTAGCCGCTCGTATAAATTTGCAGCTAATTGGCACGCACGGCGGCCAAGAAGAAGAATGTTTGAAAATCAGAGGCCGAGAGTAGTCCTTTATTTTTATATTTACACTGTTTTTGTTCCTCGTGTCGATTGGCGAATCGGTGAAACAGAGAGAAGTTTGAAGGACAAATGGCACGAGATAATCAATGATTCTATAAAATTAGATTATAAAGAAGAGTCTATTATACGTACAATAATATCACATAGAGGAATAGTTGCTATTGTAACTAAATAAATCAGTGAAAATATAAATAAAAGTCTAAAAATTCATTCGTTTGTTACTGGTTGAACCCTTCAGCGTGTACACGTTGACGAGAGAAACCGGAATTTTGATAAAATTTCTATTTCTTTGTGCATTGTCTAGTATTACTATTAATACTTTATTTGCAACAATTAAATTAACTTAATATCCAAATGTTATTTGGAATTTTTAATGATTTATTTGTAAGAATTAAACTCCATAGCTCGTTATTTAACAATTTTAACTATTTGTAATTATATGCGGGATTATTTCAAGAACAAATGAAATTAATATGAAGGGCTTGAAAGTTGCTATGGTATTTATATATTTACATTCTATTTACAATTGGTACGAGGATGGAGAGAAGATGTAAGGATTGGTAAAAGGAAATTGGTGAGGAAAGGTTGTGCGTTTTGTCTCAGAATCGCTGCCTAGGCTCATCAGTGGGGGCTGATGGCCCCTTATACCCCAAACCTAACCCAAACGCTTGTTATAATTACTAGTTAGGCTGGGCGGTCACCCATCCTAGCGGTGTTCCGCACTCTTGTTTGCTTAACATCGAAAATTGCTAGACTTCGACGTTCGAGGGACTATAGGTCGTTACAAATACAACAATGTAAATATAACTGAAGAATAAATAAGTATTATTCACAAAATATATTTATGTTAAACTACAGACAATATATTATTTATATATTCGTCGAAGCACACTGAAGAAACACGTGGAGCATCCGTCCATGTTACACATACGTTATTCATCTGTTAAAAAAACAAAAGATCATCGTCCGCCGATCATCGATCACGATATCCACAAACGCTTATTCCGCTGCATATTAATAGATGGCAACGCTCACATTAATATACAAACGAATTTCTCAACAATAACGTTTCAATAAACTATTTCATGAAAATATATCACGACCTCGTCTATTTTGATATTTTCTACTACTGTTGAGCGACATTCTCTTTGTAGATGTTCTGTTTTACCACAATTATAACAAATGACTGGTTGCCTATTACCTTCAGTTGAAGATCCTACTATTACAAACGCATTTGAATTAGCTTGTATTTCATCTCTCTTTTCTTCTTCCTTTTTTGCTTCTACAGATTCTATTGTTCTTTCTCATTCAGGAAGAGCATCAACTAGATCGCCAATATAACTGTACGAGGGCCTGATAGGGCTTTTAGCATATAATTTAGTTTTTCATTTTCAGTCAATTTTGCTCGTGCAGCTTTTAGATCATTCGCTGCTTCTTCAAACTCGTCAAAAGAGATCGTCACGTCTGTGTAATTTTTTAACTTGACTGCTTCAACATTATTTCTACATACTATCTGCTGTCGACTCCTCTAAGTACATTCTATCAAACTTCTTTATTATTTCATATGCAGTATCCAACTCACCTATGTATTCCAACTGCTTATTATTGATGGCACTATACAGGGTATTTCGTAACCTTGTGGGACTCACTTCGGGAGCTGATTGTACACCTAAAAATAGTGCAAAAAAAATTATATAAATATATGTCCTATCGGTCTTCGTTTATAAGATATAATGAATTTTATAAACAGTGCAAACTCTCTTCCCATAGACCGCAATAGTTCGTAATTAAAAAATCGCACTGTTTTACAAATAATACTTACTTGATATCTTTCATGTGGCTATTTGAAGATTCAGCAAATTTCGCAATAGTCTCTAAATCAGTTCAGTTCTTACTAATAATCGTAATACATGTCGTATAAGATCGTGTTTGAAGTGATAATGGAGCGTTATTCTAATTTAGAAATGACAGATATCCATCTGATGCTCGTGTAATGTGTAATGCAAGTAAAGCAAGATGTTTTTATACTCGGAATATTTTCCCAATCGGCGTAGGCCAAATAAGAAAACATTTCAAAGAATACACGAACGTCTACGAGAGACTGGTTGCTTCCAGAGAAGAAGTTATACACTGGTAGACCGATTAATAGAACCACTTTTCTGCTACCATGAAGAATAAATAAATATTATTCACAATATATATTTATGTTAAACTACAGACAATATATCAGCAATTATATTATTTATATATTCGTCAAAGCACACTGGAGAAACGTGGAGCGTCCGTCCATGTTACACATAACGCTTATTCCGCTGCATATTAATGGATGATGACGCTCGCATCACTATACAAATGAATTTCTCAACAATAACGTTTCAATAAACTATTTCATGAAATATGAAAACGTTTGATACTTCAAACTACGAGAGTTCGTTACGTTTAATCAGATGCCATCTGAAATTTCATTCGAATAAACGTAATATTCGCATAACTGCATGAATATTACGACACGAACGTTACTCGCGTGTATTTCTTGCATGGAAACGGCACGATCGCGATAAGTGTAACGCCTTTGGCTCGTGCGAAAGGAAAAGGCTCGGAGAAGCAAAACGCGGTGAAACGGATACGAAGAAGTCGAGCGTCTGGATGGAACGATGTAAAATGATCACGAAGGCGTGACTTAAATGCCTAGGTCCCGCGGCCGCAGACACACCGTACGTATCTAATTTCACGCTGTCTAATTAAAGAATGAAACACCTCTTACAATAACCCGGACACGGCTTCCGTGAGTACACGGCCGGCTCCAATTGGGAACGGTATGCTCTGAAAACTTGATTTATCGATCTCGCACGCGTACCTTTGCGTGCCGCCGCGATAAATGACACTCGATAACACTCGTGAACTGTGTCTCAATGTATAAAAAAAGATAAACGTTAAATAACATTGATAATTAACCCTTCGGCCTCGTTTGATGCCAACGATCTAAAGTCGGTTTACATAATTTTGGAATTTTCAGTTCGTTTATCTCGGAGTCTCCCAAATTCGAAACAATATTTAACACTCTTAATTTCATTTCATACTTCAGACAGTCTCGCGTGAAGTGCAAAATTAAAATATAGTACATTTTATATATTCTGTAATATATAAAATGTGCTTTATTATATTTTGTAATATATAAAATGTACTTTATTATATTTCGAAAAATATAAAATAAATGAAATATTGTTAAACAGAATTAAATTGTCGAACAAGTTGCAATTAATTTTTAGTAATTTAAGTAAGTCGTTAGAGTGATCCGTAACTTAATGAGAACTGTGTAAGTTGCATTTGAGCTTAATAAATCTTCCTTCAAGGGAGTTGGGATTGTTCCACACGTAACTCGCATCTAGGGATTTCATTATTTCTCTGCACGTGGAATAGTAACGAGAGATTTATTTATTGCATGAGAAAGAAATTTTTCAGAAGAACATATTTCTGTGAAAATTGCAAGAAAAAGGAGTTTGAGAAGAAGATATTTTCATGAAAATTATACAGGGAAATTGTTGCCAATTAATTATTGAAGTTACTCTTCTAGTTAATTTCGAGGCTACGTACTTTCCACTCTCTTCGAGATTTAAAAAAATATTGAAAGACATTAAAAAATATTCCTCGTTAATTAATGTTTTTGATTATAGCAAAACTTGGTCAATTCGCATCTAACAGGTTTCCCCTTTTGCTTTCGTATTTTCATAGAACTTCCTCTCGAGAAAATTCATGTTCGTGTATTTTTATGTTAACGAGTCGTTATATTATGTTTATATATTTTCACATTATCAGATCGCACTCGACGACACGTTGAATATTTCTCTGACTCGTGTAGTAGTTATCGTTCAATTTCTACGATAGCAATATTTTTGTTTTGTTTTAAAAAGATGAAAAAGAAAAGAAAGCAAACAGAGAGAAGAAAATCGATATTTGTCTGATTGGTGCGCACCGTTTCTACTTGATCCTATTCGAATAAATAATACACGTACACAAATCAATTCGAAATTATTTGGTCGACAGGGGGAAAATATAAAATCAAGAAAGAGCACTGGGCGAATTTCTATTTTATTTTATTACTGGCACGTGTTTGAAGACAGTTTAACTCTCCGCATATTATATTCTATACGATAGTAAAAAAGTCCTCCAAAGTTGATATTGAAAACAAATTAATATTAAACGAAGAATATGAGAGAAATATTTGGAAGAAACGTTTCTTGAAGTAGTTTCTCTAGTAGTTTAGTCATTATACTAGTTTAACTTAATTAAATAATTTAGTTAATAGTTTAGTTAATTAAATAATTTAGTTAATAGCTTAATACTAATAACTTGGTCTAACAATGTTAATATCTACGATGTTTCAAATTATAAGAAGTGTAATTTTTAAATCTTACAATATGAAAAATAAATTCGCTATATTTGACAAGTTTTCTGGATTGTTCGATGAGATATTAATTTGAGATATTAATTTCGAATAATAAACAGCTACTTTTGACTGCACAAAAATGGTAATCTGTGTCAAGCAAACGCGTTACGTTCTCTCATCAATCTAGGAAAAACAAATTCCATAAACATTCAACGTTCTATCGCCGTGTGATAAAGAGCTGAACACACTCACGCGCAACATACACATTTACTCGCGCGATGCATAAAAGGGTAAATAGTAAACACGGACAAAACGAAAAACATCTCGAGCTGTCTGATCGTACAATAGTTGAAAATTCCAAAAAAAAACTCTCACAATCCGTAAGACAAAATTCACATCTAGTCGGGTTTCGTTTTTTTCCAAAACCACCGTCTGTCATGTTGGCGAACCAAGATGTGAAAGATTCGTTCCTCGATCGTTTCGAAATTCGAAGATCGAAGATTCTTCAGCAACATCCGCGAGATCCTGGTCGAACGTTTGCGAATAATTCGGAGCTACGATCCAACCAGTTTGATGCCGTTTGGGACGCGGAAGATTCTTTCCTCGAAGGGAAGCTCGCCGATCAGGTACTTCTCCAAGCTCTCCCTCGCCGAGGAAGAGTGTCCAGTGCCAATGAAGGCCAAAGTCGCGTCTCTGCCAGCGTACTCGAGGATCACGTCGTACCCTCCAGGATGATTCTTCAACAATTCCGTGCAATCGTAGACGAAATCGTGGATCACGACCCAACAACTGTCGATGGTGTCGTGCCACGCCACTTCGTCCAAGTTGATCACCCTCAGCCGTTTTATTTCGTCCCTGGATTTGTTGGACGATCTCGCGTCTTCCCTCGACGCTTGTTTCGCGTTTCTTCTCGACTGTTTGGAAGGCTCGTCGCTGTCTCGGTTCTCCAAGTCGAGGAAATCGTCCGGTCGTGGCTCGCTGTCGCCGATGGCCAGCGATCGGAAGGTCAAGCCGAGCAGGCTCATCGTTTTGATCGCAGTCTCGCTGTTTCTGCAAGGAAACACGATCGACGGGTTACGCTGCATCGTGTTCGAGATGACTGGCGTATTGTAACGTTCGTCGGTCGATGCGATTTATTTTTTGTAACCTCGCGACGGAACTGAGCATTGATATACACAATCATCGCGATTTGTGCAGACGTAGTTCGTAGCTTGTGATGAAAGACGGGGGAATTTCGTCTCGTGACAGATTCGACAGACTGGATTTCACAATTTCTTTTTTCCGCGATTGCGACAGATACTTCGCAACTTGAAGAATTTCTCGTCCGAATAATTTGAAGGTCGAGAGGAAAGATTTCTGTGAAAACGCGAGATTTTGCTACGATCAACGCTTGGCAGAATCCAACGGTGGAGGAAAAAAAAAATTTGTAAAATCCACGAAAAATCCATTTAAAAAATATCAATAAAGTTAGAGGTTATCAAGTTTGCTTTCTCATGAATTCGCAGAAAAAGAAGATAGTACGGTTGCAGATGGAGATGGTGTGGAAGAAAAATAAAGAAGATGATATGACGATTAATTTGTAACGTGCAAAAATTTTACTTCGATTTTCGAAAAAAAAAAAGAAAAATATCCTTTGAGAAAGAAGAGAGATGCCTTACAATAGATAGAAATAAAGGAAAGACTTCTTCCAACAATCACGTTAATCGATTCAAATGCTGCGAAATTAAAACAAAATCTTGTCGTTTAAAAAAAAAAAAAAACATAAAATTCACCCTTCGTTTTCTCTGCTTCTGTGCAATTTTCATTTAGTATTTTGTATCGCACGTACAGTGAAAAACACTATCGTACTTTCGATTTAATTTGTCGAATGAGCGAAACTCTTTCCATGGCGAAAACTAAACGAAACACTTGGATTCACTGTTTGGCGGTGAGATCTACTAAGAAAACTCGATCGTTGATTAATTTACTGTCAATCGAATAATCGATAACGATGATTACTTTCGTTCAATCCGCTGATCGTCCTCCATTTTCTTCGAGTATCTGCACGAGTTCTCACCGATTGGACATTGCACGCAATACTGAACAGCGTCTAGAAATCAATTCCCGAGGGCAAGGGAAAATAATTCTATTACCGGTTGAAACCCGATGCATACGAGCCGGTTGTTCCCTGACTGAACATTACGTTACCTATCCAGTGGCGTCGCGCGTCCATGTTCCCGATAAATGATTGATTAAACACTGTTTCAACGCTGTTTCTGATCCGTTTTTCTTCCAATTTTTGTCGGTATTTCGAAAGTTTCGAATCACCGGATGAAATCGACAACCTCGAGAGACAGCGTTCCGTTTCGGAAAATTATTTCGTCAAAATTCTACGGAAACAGAACGATTTCTAGGAATTAGTAGATTGCGCAGAAACTGAAGAAGAATTTAAAACGAAGCCAAGAGTTTGGTTGCTTTAAGAAGAGAATTTGAAAAAGGTTGCAGTTCGGTGTGTCATCTTTGAAAATTATTTCGTCAGAAATTTATCAGGAGAAGGCGAATTATTTTAAAAATTTGGCCGATAACTTACTTATTAAAATAATAATACGTTTAATATTTCATCATTGTGGAAAGATATCTCGTCAGTATAATCGACATGAAGAACACTGCTATTGCCAATTGTAACATTAACGACGATAAGATAAAATGCAACATAAATACTTATAAAAATTTATAATATTGATATTTTAAATATCAAAACACTCTGTGCTTTTATATAAGAATGAATTTATTTTGATATTATCACTTCTTGTTAGTATGAAGAAATTGTACTCTATTATATAAGGGCACACATGAAATTTCGCAATTCTCAGAAGATTCATATATTATATGATGAATTGTTATTTATTTATTTATTTTGTAGTGAGGAAAATCTGATTTATATTTAGTTACGTCAATGATTATGTGTAATCTGACAAGTTATCTGTTATACGATAGCAGAAGGAGGAAGTTGCTAAGGTGTAAAATATATTGATAAATGAAGGCCATCTGATGAATGTCTCCTTCTTAACTATTTTATGATTAAATTATATGCTTGTAATAAAATTTTTTAGTCTTTCATACGTAAATTATGATATTCGTTACTATAATAAATCAATAGCTGTATATGTAAATTTACGAGAAATAAAATATAAGAATTGTTAAATTATTAATCCTTATAATGGAAAAATCATTTTTTCAAGTTGATTTCGAGAGATGCCGAGACCAGAATTCATTGTCAATCGAATCCTCGTCGCATAAACATCGATGAAATTCGTAAATTGAATTTTTACAAATAATTTCTGAATATTCTATTTCTCCAAATGTTATCGAATGTTTCTAATTATTTATTTCTGAGAATTAAGTCAATAATATAGCCAAGTAGTCAATAAATTATTTATAACAATGAAATCGTTAATACATTCCCATAATATTATTAAACGTTATTGGGCAACGATGAATGATTTATTTGTAATTTAATTAGTTTCCATATTAATTCCAAACGTTGGTTAATAATTTCAATTCGTTCATATCAGTTACATTATTAATTGAATTCTCTGGTATGCCAGAATATTATTAATTAGTTTTAATGATTCGTACATAACAATATGTTAACACAAGGTAAAGCAAGAAACTAATGTAAGTTTGCTGTAAAAGAAATAATATTTATCATTGTAATAAATCGGTAACAGTATAAATTTGCAGTAAAAAATCTAAAATTATTAAATTATTGATCGTTATAATAAAAAAAAAGTCATTTTTCGAAGTATTGAGGAAGACGCAGGATCGAAAAATCCAGGTTGACCTTGAACGACACAAGACTCAGTATAAATTGAACCTCTGTGAGGATATATCGATTGAACTTACAAATTGAATTTTTATATAATATTTCTGACTGTTTAAACATTATCTAACAATTTCTAATAATTTCTTCGTTATTAAATTATTAATTGTTGTAATGGAAGAACCGTTTTTCGAATTATGAACAAGGACTATCATCTGTTTCGAATCACTGACGGATACTTGAAGGACGGAATGACTCTGAATAGTATTGAGGCCAAGACCTCAACCGAGATAATGAATTCAACCTTCGTCGAGTACACGTCGATTAAACTTACAAATTGAATTTTTAAATAATATTTCTGAACATTCTCATCTTTTACATTATCCAATATTTCAAATATTTATTTATAACAATTCATTCTTCCCTATAACGTTTCTAAATATCATTTAAAATTTCTAATTAATTAATTGTAGCAATCGAGTCACCAATACATTTCTATGAAATTTTAATTAACTGTTCCGCCTCATTAACGACCGAAAGATTGGATTAATCTCGACCGATACGGAGACAAGAGTTCATTACCAGTTAAACCTTCGTCGCGTACATCGACCAAACTTTCGGAGTGAATTTTTAAATAATATTTCTGAAACATTCTAATTGTTTAAAACGTTATCTAACATTTCTAATAATTTATTTACAACAATTGAACGATTAATTCTCTTCTGTGATGTTTACAAGTTTAATTAAAATTTATTAAACAAAAATAGCTATTGTCAATGTTTTTAAATTAATTAATTTAATTGTTCGAACATTATTATTCAGTGATCAAGCGCTTCATGGGACATGTGCGTTTTGGTTTTTATTTCGGATCTTATGGATTAAGTTAATTTTAAACTTTATCGACGAACGAAGCAGGGTGTGAGTTGGTTTTAATTTTAAATTTTAATATCAAGTTGTAAACTTTAGTTTTAAATATAATTTTATGTCTTAGCGTCTATAGTTGTGTCCTAATGTTTAAGTCTTAGTTTTAAATCGCGTCTCCAGTTGCGAGACTTAATTTTAAGTGTTAGCCTCGTGTCGCGTCTTTAGTTGCAAGTCTTACAATCAATCTTACCGTGAATTTTTAATTTTCAATTTTTAAGTTTCAGTTTTCAGTTTCAACATTGATTTTGGCAAAGATTGCAAATATATTACACGCAAGTGCAGCAACTTGAACATGATGACCTGGACAATCGTTGTTATTTAATATATAATTACTAATTGCACCACTATTTGATACAATTACGAATTATGCAGGAAATAATACGAGCTAATTGGCTGCGATCGCGAGTTTGGCCAATTGTAAGATTTATTAAATCATTATTTAAATCAATTTCAAGCATAGAATTCTATATTTTGTTTACGATTATAAGATATAGATAGACGCTTTGTAATAACTTGTTTAGAATTTGTTTAAAGACTACAGATACCATCTTCTCTGCCAACTTTACACAATTTCAGCAGAGGGCACGATAAAATCTCAAATTTCCTCGCGCGATCGATATTGTAGAACACGCGGCTTGAAATTCCAAAGAGTTTCCCACAGGTCTACATGGTCGATGCCTGTACATCATCTGCAATTACACTTGTACTCAACGTCGATATTTAACTGTCCGTCGATACAGAGGATGTTACCAGTCGTTTCGTGCTGACATCTTGCCAGCAGACGGCAAGATTTACATTCAACAACGAATATTTAACAACGACACCACTTTCGAACCTCTTAATTAAAAAACGACAGTCACAATTCATTCGTAAAAAAAAAAATGCTTGTTCAAAGATCGAAATCACCAGCGTCGTTACCCAAATTTAAGCTTGTAACTTAAGCGAAAATTTTCCCGAATTGTTCGCGATGAAAGAATTGTTATCGTAAAATAAAAGGGATAAGGTAGACGAGTCGTCCACGTGACCGAGATTTCAAGAGTATTTATGTAATATTTAAATTGCCCGATCACGTGGAAGAAATATTCGGACACATTTGTCTGGCTGTATTATTACACGAGAGGGTACGGCCGAGTCACGGATGACCCGTTTCCCTTGTCGCACAGTAGAATCTATTGAATTTTACGAAGCGTATTACAGAAGTAGCCGCCTTCGATTTTCCAGCAAACGCTGCCACACCTCGATTTTCCATCCAGTGCGCACATATTCTACACTACATACGAAATACGTACTACATACGCTGGCTCGACGTGCATGCAAATGTGTTCCACCGTCTCTCTCTCTCTCTCATTCCATATTCCTGTTTATATATACACGCGTACACATTCGAGCGCGAGATCTAAGAGAAGTTTCGAGCCTGAAATTTCGATTCGATCACGTTCGCATCTATATATAATATACACACGTGTATATATCACTCTTCGCGGAAGTCTGCAACGTCCTGGAAAGCTCGTCGCGTGTTTAATTTAAAACGCCTTCGAAATAATTTACATTTCGCAACGCGACAAGTTCAATTGCAAAAGTTCGGAACGGCCTCAATTTCGAGAATGGTGTTTGAACTCGGATGAAATCATGCTTTCTACGTTGTGATATTTCGTGGGGTACGTCTGGATAAACGGCAGGAATTTAGATTAGTAAAGGTTAGGTTGCAAGACTGTGTGACCAGCTTCATTTAAGTAATAAACTTGCGGAACGATTTTAATTTAAAATTTAATCACAATGAAACCATCGCGCGTATCTAGTTTATTTAGATATTTCATTTCGGTTATTTTAGTTTATTTAGGCATTCGAACGGAAGATTTTGGTCATTTCAAAGTGTACATCGCAGACGAATTGACGAAATAAATGTCGGGAATTTTATTTGAAAGTACTGGTATTTATATTTAACACTGGAACTGTCCAACGATTAACGCGTAAAATTAAATTAAAGAAAAGAAGAAGGAAAACTTTGTGACACAGTGAAATTGAAATCTCTAAAAGTATATTGTTTTACGTCTACAAAATTTCGAAGGAAAATTATAAATTGACCATTTTGACCGTTTTCGTGGTTCTAATGTTAAGAATTATGAGACAATTATACACAGTGATTTGCAAACTACAAATTATAAATTGCAAAATCATATAATATGAATCAAAAATACAGTTTGTTATAAAACTATAAACTATAAACTATAAACTATAAACTATAAACTATAAACTATAAACTATAAACTATAAACTATAAACTGTAAACTGTAAACTATAAACTGTAAACTGTAAACTGTAAACTGTAAACTGTAAACTGTAAACTGTAAACTATAAACTATAAAACTACAAACTATGAAATAAAACGACACAATATTACACGACAA